GAGCCGCCCCCCCCCCCCCCCCCCCCCCCCCCCCCCCCCCCCCCCCCCCCCCCCCCCCCCCCCCCCCGCCCCCCGGGTCGAGATTGGGGTGGCTTGTGTCAGAATAATGAATTCGAAGAAGCGGTAAAAAAGAGAGAGAAAGTAGCGAGCGGAAAAGGATTATATGAATAGAAGCTGATTCGATAGGAGGGTGACTGGAGGTAATATAGTACAGCTCACTAAAAGATTGCGTAGTGGGTACTTGGGATTTTAACGTGTTCCAGGTGGAATTGGCTGGTACTTGTAGTAGTGTGTAGTGTGTGTGTAAGTGTTATAAGTGAGAAGAAATTCGGGGCGCTTCTCCCGTCCGAGTCCAAGCTTTGTCGAGCCTCTCTGAACCGACTTATTAAGTAACTGACTGACTGACTGAATTCGACTTTGAGCGACTACTGGGCTGGGCCGAGCCGGCCTTTAGCTAGCTACCCTATTGTGCGTTGTGTATGTGTATGGATAAGCGTACGTGTGTAACGGCTAGGGTCCTGTCAGGGTCTAGTTGATAGTTGACGTAGATAGAGGTGGTGGTGGGAGTAGATGGTGGCGGCGGTAGTGGTATAGACGGGAATTACCACTTATGTATACCCAGCATGTGGCAGTGATAATAGCAGTAGTAAGGTGGTAAAGTAGAGCTCCCGGGGCCGGCTATGTACGTATTATGTAGGTATGTGCTATGAGATATGAATAGCGAAGGACAAGGACAAGACATGGGAAGAGAGTTGACTGGCTGGGCTCCAAGAGAGGCATAACAAGTTCGGACGAAAAGAGAAATAGTCCATAGGTACGGCAGTACAAGGGGGTGGGAAACGGACAGGAAGTAAGGTAAGGTCAGGAAAGGTAAGCTAAGGTTAGGTAGGCTCGACTTTCTGGAGAGGACCTGGGACTGCTGGGACTGCTGGGACTGGAGTGAGGGAGGGGTGTGTGACTTCCCTAGACGAGGAGGGGGTGGGTTTTGAGATTTCCACTATTGCACCGAGCCCTGACGATAGTAAGGTAGTCGCTGCGCAGTTTTTACATAGATATTATACATCATGTTCAGGTATGAATAAAAGTACATGGGAGTAGTATACAAATTTATGTACCTAGGTGTGTATACGTATTGCGCTGCACCCTTGAATCTAAAATTGTACAATACATTAGATCGTGCACTATTCTCTGTTAATGTTTTTTTGCCCGAGCTGTCTATAGGTAAGGTACTTGTCAACAGGGGGCAGGGGTGGTCTTGGGTATGCATGAGCAAAGGTTAACAGTGTAGCTTGATAGGATCTTATGGAACCCACGGGGGAGGAAGAGGGACATGGAGGTTGCGCGATTGAAGGAACAATAGCAGGTGCCATGGTAGAGGGTAAGAGAAAATAGGTGGGAAAAAGAAGGCACAAGGTACAAAAGTGCCCACCTCAGCTAGTCCAAACATTAGGTACACCTTCTAAAATTGAAGTAAAGGGTGATATAAGTCCGGGGCAAATGTAACAGATACTAAGAGATCTAGGAACCTCTAATCCGAGTCCCATGTACCTTACGTACATTGCATGGTACGTACCGGTACATGAGAATAACACCCCTGACAATTGCCCCCTCATCCTGCACTCCGATGTTGTCTGTGCTGATTGAGGGCAAGGGTGGGTACGTACCGCACCATACCGTACCTCACGGAGTCCAGCCGGAAGTCGAGGATACACCAAATTGAAATGTAAGGTCCAGCCCAAAAAGACTTCCGGCTCCACGCCTTACGATAATTGCTCCATTTTCATGTGGGTATTTACTCTAATAAAAGAGACAAGAGTAGAGAGAGAAAAAAAACCCAATTGTTTAGTCTATCACGTTTTCTACAATATACCGAACTACCTCCACGATCTAAAATAGTGCGACTCTCAAATAACAATATTATTAAAGACTGTTATATTATTCTAGAATACCCCCCCGTCTCGGAAAACGTAATGCAGCGGACTATCTACAGACAATTGGGTAATACCAACCAACATAGTAAAACAACAACATAGGCCTCGGCTCCTGTACAAGTATCCAGAACACGGAGACTGCGTTAGTTCCTGCGGCTGAGCCAAAAGATTGAGACCCGGCTAACACGGGATTGCCTATTTGTGCACACCTTTGTCTTTCTTGTCTAAACCCAACATCTCAGCTGAAAATGATGCCTGAATAGACCTCATTGTGGCGGAAATATACTCACTATACTTTACACCTCCTATCGCTACTATTCCCACAGCCGCAAAAAGGGGCGACTTCCTCGGAGTGGCAATCATATCGGGGTAAAGGTGGAAAAGGGGTAGATAGATTGCGTGGTGTACAACCTATAGTAGGTATACGGTCACATTCATACTCTAGATTACAACGTTGGTCTATTCTTTTAGGTCTTCCCATTCGATACCAGTTAGATTTATAAGGCTAAGCCACTTTAGAGATCTACCTATTACATATGTCTGCATTTACTATACAACTATCTATTTATGTGCTTATTTCTCTTGAGTTTTAGAAGTCAGACTATTGTCTATTTCTTTAATTACAAACATATTATATACACTGCGTATTATCGGAAAAGCAACTACATAAGGTATCTTGTCTGCGATTGTAGACATTTAGTTAGTGTAAAAAGTCTCTTACAAATGATAGAAACACATGTACCTGGCTATATTCATGGACCTTTACCTCCATGGGTTACTGGGTCTAAGTGTTCTATTAGGAATACCTAAAAGATCAATGATATCTGAGATTTCATGTGAGTAGACTTATTCATTCGTTTAGTATAGGATTTCTACTAAGAGACCCGTCGCTTATACCTTGAGTAGACTAGAATATTGGAATAAACGGTGGCTTCTTAACGGCTTCTCCAGTAGTTCGGCGGCATTTCTAAATTAGCTAAACTACCGCAATTCTCCACATGAATTATCTCCGATTCATCTTTTGGACCATTTTATTAAAAGACAACCACGTTCTCGCAAAATTGTGTTCGTTGAAAAGAGCTAAACGTATCAATATATGTTCCACGGAAGATGCCGTAATAGGGATCAGAGAAAATAAGAAGTTATGAATGATGAGCGTCAAGCCTAGAGTCGGTGGATAAACAGCCGGACAGGCTACGGGAGTTGTTCCCGCTTGTCGATTTCGGCAATGACCGTACATGCTATTTTGATATTCCATTTCCAAAGACCCATCACGGGCTATTGTGTATTTTGTTCCAACCTAAAAAATATTATGTGGGTAGTGCGACGGCTGTCGTCACTCCCGAGAGATATATACTATGTACTTCCTGGAGGCCTCGCTTGGCTAGTGGAATTTCGATATACTATGCTTACCTAATTAAGGTCAATCAGCTAGGCAACTAGTAGTCATAATCGCGAACGACTAGTTTTTACGCCGCTGTTTTCTGATGTGACCCTTTTAATCTTCTTCATGGGATGATCAGCGCGTGGCATGTCTTCCACACCGCCAAGCAATTCGCAAATCCGCGCGTATCGACAAGCGCCAAATGGTAGCAGCCGTTCTACCACTAGATGAACGACCTAGTCAGATTAAAGGTCAAGCGACGATGGACTAAAAGGCGCTTGAGAACGCGTCGGGAAAGTCTAGTCGAGAAATGACGTGGAATAATAACGGCTGGCGCTTCGTGGCGCCCTAATCCTCCCAGCACATTGGGCCCCGTCTCTCGACCGTCTTAATTATCTAATGCGTAGTGTAAGTGAGGTGGGTTATAGTAGCCGAGGTATGAAACTAATAATAGGTACACCAATAATTAGGCAGTATGAACATATGAAATGCGCCGTACCTAATAGGTGAACTCGCCAAAAAAGGGAGAAGAGGGAAACGAGATATTGGTGACTGAATGGGAACACAAACGGCGATAGCCGTTCGTAAAAGAGAAATTGATAAACTAGTCATTCTCGTGTGTCGCTACTGATGGTATCTTGCGTAGCATGATCAACGTAGGAAATTCCCTAGCGAGCAAGATAGAAGATTGACAGCTGGGGGTTTTCGCACAGATTGCCCCCCGTATTTATTTTTAACGTAGAATAATTGGGGGAAATAAGGTCAGTAAATGGAGATTCCCGCGTTATTGTAACATTGTAGCATCACGTGCGGTGACGCGCTTTCATGTGGCTTGATGATATCTTGAAATGTCTTTTTTTTTTCTCTTCTCTTCTCTTTCCTCGCAATTGGGTTGTGTAGGAAGGTAAATTAATTTACTTTGGTGCATGTATGCAGGGTTCTCGCTTCATTTCATAATTCATATACATAAATGATATACGACGAATTACAGCCACCATTATATGTAGCTGACACGTGTATAGAGAAAGGTACAGCAATCTGCGCAGATATGACGGGCAGGAAAAGTATGTAAAGTTTAAGGAGGCATCGCCTAAGAGTGTACTGGAAGGTACTTACAAAAGTACTCTACTATATCGTCGGAGTACTACGTACTTGCCAAGCCGGTCTGTCTTCCACTCCTCTTTCCCTCTTTCCCTAACTTTCCATATACCACGCATA